AAGCTTGATGACATCATAGATATAAAAAGGTATATATGTTCATGGACGACATGGCCAAACACAAGGATGATGCTGCTTGTGTTAAACTGTGTGGACCTTGAACTAGTGACTAAGGAGAAAGCTGGATCCTGTGGCTGGACCAGTTGGGAACCACTGGGATAGACTTTAGTGTACCAGTGGGAAGTTTGCCTTATTGGACATCACAGTGTCTGCAGTATAAAATCACAGCAAAACAAATGACTAAAACATTTATCCATCACTTGCACATGCCCGTCTACATCAGTAAAAGTGCACACATGGTACTATAATGTGATCAGTGACAAGAAGGACAGCTACACCATACACATAGTTCAGTCTGGGTGGTGTTAAGGGCTTCACAGGAGAGGAGGACAAAGGATTGTTTGAAGCAGTGGTGCCTGCTGAGGGGAAGGAGCTCATACTCAGGGTGGAGAACATGAGATGATTTCTGGGGCCTGTTTATGGCTTGTAATGTCCATATGGGCTGCAAACCTGTATGTGCATGACACAATAAATAACATAGCTATTACCTTGTTCTAACATTATATTATCTGATCATTACAAACATTAAGTCAGATTTATATGTATAAATACAACTGTTGCATGCTGGACAACCGCAGATATATAACTGGTAATACTGAGCTTTCAGGTCCTGGCATTAAGACATCTTCTCATCTACTCACTTCATACCTGTTGTTTTGATAAATCACAGGCACTGACTCAGTTGGTATCATTTTTAAAACTGCCTGTTTTACATCAGTCAAAGATGGAAAAATAGATTTCAGTTATCCTACAGTGAAACATGACACTTTCAGAACATTAGCATATATCTTTAATCACTGAATCTTCTTTAAAATGTTATACACATACTGTGGAGACACATTGAAACAGCAGTTCAGCAAAACATTGACTTCTACTGCCCTCTAGTGTTCACAGCAAGAAAAGCACAGGACAAGTACAGTTCAAATAATTTTAAATATTAAAACACAGTCTTAGCAGCAGTGTCAGGCAGAGACCACGGTAAAATACCTACTGGAAACGTGCATTAGCAGTACAATAGACTGTATATTATATATCACATAATAAAATTCACATGACAATACTCAAACAAAAGGTTCATTCTGTCCAGTTCAATATATGAAGAACTGTGAGTGTATGTGAGCACATTCTCATGTCACAGTCAGACTATAATATTTTTTACACCAGATTCTTCTTCTTCTGTTATGCTTTATTAAAGTTTATTTAAGAAGTATATTAACTAAATGGCTCCATCTCGCCTCCAAATTCCTCAGAACCCAATCTGATTGAGCATTCATGGGACATGCAGGTGCCCCAGAGGTACCCCCAATCCCAGGTGGGGCCTCCTTGACTCTGACTTGGCTCTGTCCTGTTGGGGCATGGCCACAAGACCTCTGGGGGGTGTCCTGTGGTGCTCAGCACCAGGGAGTTGGCAGCAGACCCCTTGAGTCGTGGGGGTTGTGAGGTGGTATATCAGCACATCCAACAGATGCTGGATCAGACTGGGATCTGGGGAATTTGGAGGCCAGGTTGACTCCTTGAGCTCTTTGTCATGTTCTTCTGGGTATTCCTGAGCAGTTTTTACTGTGTGGCATGGTGCATTGTTCTGCTGGGGGGCCACTGCCATCAGAGATGCTGCTGCCACGAGGGAGTGTACTTGGTGTGTAACAATATTTGGGTGAGTGGAGCATGTCAGGTGGCATCCACATGAATGCTAAAGTGAAGGTTTCCCAGCAGAACACTGTAACAAGATGATCAAAGTTATTTCACCTGTCAGTGGTTTTAATGTTTCAGCTGATCTGTGTATATATGTTCCCAGCAATATCCTCTCAGGGTGTCATATTTCCACCCCCACAGTGTAGGCACCCCAAACAGCCAGGAGGAGTCACCAGTGCAGCAACAATGACAAGAACCCTCCCCTCCCGTCCTGTCCTTTTCTAACAGGTGAAAAGTAACTGTTTCCTCAAGTCCAGCACCTAAGTACAGTTTTGAGATTTTATTACTACTTCCTTCTAATGTTATTTACTTTATACTTTAACTCCACTTTGTTTCAGAGGGGAATATTGTACATCTTACTCCAGCACATTTATCTGACAGCTGCAGTCACTAGTTGCTTTTCAGATTAAGAATGTATATTTAAAACAGGATGAACTCATAAAATGTGATGTTCAGGATTAAACCAGTGGTTCTCAGCCTTTACAGCATGTGTCCTCTTATTAAACAGTTCCTCCCTTGTCATGTTTAGAACAAAGACTCTAAATCTCTGAGTTGTTAGTTTAACCAAAGAGACATTTCCCATCCAAACTTCTCAGATGATCCAGTTTAAACAACAGATCAAGGCCCAGAAGGATAAACACGTAACTTTAATATCTGTCTGTCTTTCTGTGTGTGTGTGTGTGTGTGTTTGTGTGTGTGTTGTGGGGGGTGGGGAACTCTGTGGTGCTGACTGTGTGCAGGGTGTGTATCTATTTGCCATAAGAACTTATAACCAGAGTTGGAGGGAGGCTGTACCACTAAAAGAGTCAGTGCCAGTTTGCAGTACCAGGAAGGAGGGACAGCAGCTGCCTGACTAAACCAGTTTGGTAAAGTTGGAAAGTAATCATCAAAATAGTTCAAGCACAAACCCTTTTTTCCAGCCGAGATAACAAGCTACATACCATCCAAGTTGGACAGATAACGTTATCCTCTGAGCGCAGCCTGCTGCTCCTGTCAGTTGTTATTTTAAGTGGAGTCGTCACACCCTCCTCCACCCCATTCACCTCAAGTCACCTTATCCAGAGCTCAGAACAAGCTCATCAAAAGCCCGCTCCTCTTCATATAAGCTTTATGTGTCATGGAAGTGTAGTAATACAATGTTTTCCTCTGAAGTAAAAGGAGACGTACACAGTATGTAGAACGTTGCATTGCATTCTTAAAAAGTGCTTTGGGGCCTTTAAGATATTTGGAGGTACAATGAGTTACAATAGCACATAGTTCAATATTTTTCATATTTAAACATCATGATAAATCTATATATCTGTGTGGGGCCCCAGGTGTATTGCTCGGGACCCAAAGAAGTGCAGTGTTAAGTGTGAAGTTGTTTGGATGAGCGGCTCTCGAGAAAGCTGGAAGCAGCACTGCCACAGGCCAAACAATCGGCCTGTTCTGAACAGGAATGTTTTGAACGAAAACTTTAAAGAAATTTCACAAGATAAGGGCTCCTGAAGACCTGAATGCAAGCTACATGCCAATTCACAGAGCCTAAACTCTGCTAAATACAAATACAAAAACCAAGAAGCTAATAGAACATTGGCCAAGTGTCAGGAAGAAGAAAACACTGAATTTGTAAAAATACATAAACAGTTCCTAAAACCACCAGGAAATCTTATCTCTGATGTAATGTGCAAAGGAAATAATCTGTTTTCTTCCTGCAGTTATCACATTCATTATTTAGGTTAATTGCAGAGTTTATCAGTTATTCTGTACTGTTATTGTTATGCACTGAATCTATTATGAAAGATCCATAAAATATGTCACTTATAGAATAAAGGTCCCTTAAGGAAAAAGGCTGGGAATCACAACTATAAACTACAGTAGCTCCATGTTGCACAGCTACAGCAGTAAAATCCTGCTCACATTTTTCATACATCAGTATTAACAATAGGCTGTATTAATGTCATCTATAATAATATGCCAGTCAATGGCCTGAAACGCTGGATTTCACTGATAAAACTTTTATGCTTTTACTGAAGAAGGATTTTTATGTTGTGGTATTGATACTTTTACTTTTGTAAAAGTTACGTAAAGGATCCAAATACTTCTTCCACCACTGCTTTTCAGACACTGATGAGTTCATGACAAGTTTCTGCAACGCATCTCCACATTTGAATTTATCTTGCTGAAGCTGTTCTGTGGGCAGAGAGGAAAGTATGATAATGAGGGGTGGAGACCAAACAAACAAATTGCCCATGTTAGATATAGTACCAGAGGAGTCATGTACGTGCATTAAAGAGGAACAGTCCAGATGTAAGTACACTAACCTCAATGCATTACATTCACAGCTAAATATATTACTGAGAGACTAAGTTTAACTGTTAAATACTATGTAGTAGCCTAGTGTGCTGTTTTGTCACTATTTTGTTTCCATAGCCCAGACATTCATTCACTATAGATTTAATATTTAATGTGGTGGGATACTGCTGCAGTTTAATGAGGCTTCTATTCAAAGTGATGACCTACATATTTAAAAACCAACATGTTATCTAAGATACCAAACTAACTAAAATTTGTTAAGTCATTTTTTTTTTAAATTATGATTATTCCCACAGGAGCATGTAAGCCACCAGATCTGTCAGTTTATCTGAGGTAAAGATTCAAATGGGTTTTATTGTGATAAAAATATCTTAACACAAATATTTATATGCAGTATTTGTATCTCAAAAAATTAAGTTAAGCCATATGCAGCTTTCAGACAACCTGTCATTGTCTGCTACTACTTTTAACAGTGGAAATTAAGCTGTTCTGATTTGGTCATTTTTCCTTGGTGTTAGTGCTTCTAGCACAAGACAGGAAATGACTAGTTAAATATATTTGTTATTAAAAAGACATTCGTCCTTATAACTACACTCTATATTTCACATACAGTGAAGGTTGGATTTCTTTTCATATATTAACATTAACATTAAGAGAAAAGCAGAGCAGACTCTAGTAGAAAGAAACGACAGATGGTCAGTCATTTGTGATGTAACTTTCCACCAAATATTTGCTGAGGACACTTTTGTCAGAATGCCATTATCAGTCTCATGATCCCTTCTTTTCCTTTAATGAACTATAATTGATTGTAACTGTTTCCAAAATGCCAAGCAGTAATGGTTGATCAAAACATAATTTTTGTTTATTTCTCTTTACCTTACAGTTGCTGTTCTTCGTCATGGATGATTTTGTTCAGAACAAATTAACTGAATGGGATCTCAGTGAGTGGATAGAAACATTTCGAGGTAATACTGAAATGTCTTTCCATGCTTCTGTGTTGGGCACAAATATTATACAATGTTGGTATCTACTAATACAGACATAAAAAATGCTGCAACATGTTTCTGCAGCACAGTGCTGACTTATCATTGACAGACATATTTTTAAGACAAAAGGAGTGATCAGTGTTGACAAATCCTGACAATTCTTGTCTTTGTTTAGAAAGTAAAAAACAGTATGAGTAAAGATCTTGTACGTTTTATGATTAATAC